GACTAAACAAGATATATATATATAAATATGTCAAAACAAGTATCACAATACAAATCCCCTTAAAAATACATAAATTAAGATGTAGAAAACATGCTTAGGGCTAACTCTATCGAACTTAGGCTGGATCGATCCTCAATGTCGGTGCCTTTTGGGATAAAAACAAATCTGAGATATTTTGAAGATATCTTTGGGAAAAGGACAAAAGCGGTTGGTAGGGCGGTACAGCTGAATAAGATCTGGCATCTGGATAAGGACAAGAAGGTTCGATCGATCGAAGAATGATGTTGGATCGATCGAACTTTTGGGATCTCTGAAAATGACATCATGGCTTGGATCTATCTTGAAGTGCTGAGATAGATTCGATCGATCGAAGACTGATGTTGGATCGATCAAAGATGCTGAAATTCCACCTTTGAGCTTCCTTTTGCTTTACTTTGCTCCTTTTTTTTTATTCATCCCAGAATTGCTTCATTTCTGCTCTTATTTGGCTGAGTTAGCTTATTTAGGGGATAAGTACCTGAAAATGAAAATAACATGAAATTAATTTAAGGTGGAAAAATATGATAGATAAAGGTCCTAGAATACCTAAGCTTAAAGGGTTTAAATGCACACTTTTCAGCGCTCATCACACACCATGTACTTCTCTTTAATTTGATGTACCTGACAGAGTTTGGACTAGCAAGGATGTTTCTTATGATCATTTGTGTGTCTTTGGGTGTAAGGCTTTTGTGCATATTCCCAAAGATGAGAGGTCTAAGCTTGATGTGAAGACCCGACAATGCATCTTTCTAGGCTATGGCCTAGATGAGTTTGGCTATAGGTTATATGATCTAATTAACAAGAAAATAGTTAAAAGTAGAGATGTTGTGTTTATGGAAGATCAAATCATACAAGATATTGAGAAAACAGAGAAAGTAGTGCCTCAGCACGATGATGGTTTGATTGACTTGGATCCAATTTCTTTAATAAATGTTCCAGTACATGTTAAACATGATGCTCAAGATGACCAGTAGAATCCAGGTGATAGTGATGCTCCTTTATAGATTGAGATTGATCAGTTGCCAGTACCAGAGACACCACCAGATGTTTCACTCAGGAAGTCTATTAGAGACCGACACCCTTCCACTCTGTATTCTACAAATGAATATGTGTTACTGATTAATGGGGGATAACCTAAGTGTTATGTAGAAGCCATAGAAGATGAACATAAGACAGAGTGGTTTGATGCAATGCAAGATGAGATGCAGTCATTACATAACAATCACACCTTTCAGCTGGTGAAGTTGCCTAAAGGAAAAAAAGCTTTGAAGAACAGATGGATTTACAGGGTGAAACAAGAAGAACACACTTCTTGGCCATGGTACAAAGCTAGACTAGTTGTTAAAGAATTCAGTCTGAGAAAATGATTTGATTTTGATGAGATTTTTGCCTAGTTGTGAAAATGTCTTCTATACATGTGGTTTTTGGCTTAGCAGCTAGCCTAGACTCAAAGACTGAGCAAATGGATGTGAAAACTTCCTTCCTTCATGCTGACTTGGACGAAGTGATTTATATGGAGCAGCCAGAGGGTTTTAGGGTGAAAAGAAAAGAGGATTATGTGTGTCAGCTAAAGAAAAGTCTTTATGGTTTGAAGCAAGCACCTAGACAGTGGTATAAGAAGTTTGAGTCAATTATGAGGGAGCAAGGCTACATGAAGACTACTTCTGACCATTGTGTATTTGTGCAGAAATTCTCTAATGATGATTTTGGTTTTTTATTGCTATATGTTGATGACATATTGATTGTTGGCAGGAATCTTTCAAGAATTGACAAATTGAAAAGGCAGCTAAGTTAATCCTTTGCTATGAAGAACTTGGGGCTAACAAAACAAATTCTTGGTATTCGTATTTGTAGAGACAGAAAAAAGAAGAAGCTGTTTATGTCACAAGAGCAATACATTGGAAAGGTGCTTGAAAGGTTCAAAATGAATAATGCTAAAGTGTTTAGCTCTCTTCTTGCTACTCACTTTAAGTTAAACACCAAGCAAAACCCTTCCACAGATAAAGAGAAAGAAGGTATCGAAAGAGTTCCATATGCCTTAGTAGTAAGAAGCTTGATGGATGCAATGGTTTGTACAAGGCCAGACATAGCCCACACGTATAGTTGATGTTGTTAACCGGTTTCTTTTAAATTTAGGAAGAGAGCATTGGAATGCGGTAAAGTGGATTATGAGGTATCTTCGAGGCACTTCCCAGTTCAGACTCAGGAATTGGCAAACCAGTGCTAGTTGGCTATACAGATGCAGATATGGCGGGAGATGTGGATACCCGCAAGTCTACTTCCGGATATTTGATCACTTTTTCAGGTGGGGTTGTTTCTTGGCAGTCAAGATTGCAAAAATGTATTGCACTTTCTACAACAAAGATAGAGTTTATTGCAGCAACAGAAGCTTGTAAAGAGTTGCTATGGATGAAAAAGTTTTTGAGAGAGCTTGGTTTTAAGCAACAAAAATATGCCTTGTTTTATGATAATCAGAGTGCTATTCACCTTGGCTAAGAATTCTACTTTTCATACCAGATCGAAGCATATTGATGTGAAGTACCATTGGATCAGAGACACTTTGAATGACAAGTTGTTGAAACTTGAAAAGATTCATACAGATCGCAATAGCTCAGACATGTTAACGAAGGCTCTGGCAAGGGAGAAGCTTGAGATTTGCTGCTTGATCGTCGGGATGGCGAATCCTCCCACTTAGTCGGGAAGGTGGAGATTTGTTGGGCTGGGTTCCTTTCTAATTTAAGGAGGCCCAAGTGAAGCCTATGTGGGTTTAAAGCCCACACATACATAAAAATATATATATGTATGTTTGTGTATTGAAAAAATAGAAGCAGCAACGTCTTTTGCAACTGCCGAAATAGAGAGAGAATCCCTAAAATCAGAATATTCCAAGAGCGACCAGATTTCATTAAGGGCTCCGATTAGCAAACGTTTGTTGTCGGATTAAGCTGAAATTTGGTAAGTGGGTTCGCAATACAAGGCTCTACATTTTGAACAGTAGAGATTGTATTTTGAGCATTCTGAAACAATTTTTGGGTCTGTGAATAGTATCTCAGTTTTGGTGAGATCTTTCCTTAATCTTTGATTAAAAGATATTTGTTGCTGAGAAAGATTATTTCTTGAGATTGATTACCTCTAGTTCTAACTAGAGAGAACTTTTGTACACCCATTATTTTGTTGATAGTGGAGATTTAGTGACTACGGTCCCGTGGTGTTTTGCTTCCCACATCGGGGAGTTTTTTCTGCGTTAAAATTGATTGTGTCAATTGTGTGTGTGATGTTGATTATATTTTTCAGATTATTGTGCTCTATGTAATTGCTTCCTAACAGATTTACACATAGAGGGAGAATATATTTTTACTGATTTAATTGTGAGAGATTCAGGTTGCTAGAATTAGTCTTTTTGAATTCTCCCAACAATTTCGTTATTAAGTTGCATGGTTTCTTGTCTGGAGCATGAATGAACTTCTATTTAAAATCCTCATTATTACAGATCTTTAGGCTAGGAACATGTTGTATTCATTTAATTTTTTTTGTTATTATGTGGTGTTTTCCTCGCATAATTGGGATTGCTATTGATATGGAATATTTGACCGACTAGGAAGTCGAAGTTACATAGAAACCTAAAAGGTATGCATAAAATTCGTGATGGCAAAGAAATGGAATTAGTTTTATGTTAAAACTCTGCCACCATTAATGCTTGTAAATGGAGTCATTGGTTAACCTAAAAATGTACACCAAAAATTAAATACCAAGTTTTTCTTTCACTTACAATGGCTCAAATATTAACTTTATCGTCGGAGTATACCAGGTCGGCACCATGCCAATCGTCACTGTTCTTGTCTTGTATGAATAGCCCCCGACTCCAAACCATGCTATTTTTGCATTAACGGTTTGCACCGTCTATGGGAACATGTACTAGTCTCCTTAAAAAAATCATGGTTCAGACCAAACCTAGAGTTTCCTATACTCTTTAGGAGTGAAGACTTGGTACTTTATAATATGGAATAATCAACCATTGAAAATGGCTTCAAAGGAGGTCCAAGATTGAAAATTCATAGTCCAAGATTTATCCAGATCAATAGGCACTGTTTTGGCCATATCTCATTCCATACAACTTCGATTGATGCATAATTATTATCCAAAGGAAGTAATAACATCCGGGGCTACATTTGATCCAAAAATTAAATTTTGAGGCCCTAGGCATCCTCGGTCGCCTTAGGCTAGGGCGGGCCCTGCTTAGAAACTCACACAAGTTTCTAAGAACCTTTAATTCCTAAGAACACCCTTTGGGAATTTATAAATAAAAAAAAAACAAAAAATTATGTATGCAAATAATTTAAAGTGACCCTATTTCAATTATTAAGAAAAAAAAGGGAAAAAAAAACCTTCAAATGCATTTATGTACTAACTAATTGCATTTGAAGGTTTTTCTTTTCCTATATATAAAAAATATATTTATGCATATACTTTAAAGTGACCTTGTTTCAAATTTCATTAAAAAAAAAAGTTTAAAGTAACCTTGTTTCAATTATTAAGGAAAAAGAAAAAGAAAATCTTCAAATGCATTTTTGTCTAGCTAATTGCATTTAAATGTTTTTTTTTTTATTTTATATATATATAAAAAAAATTATATGTATAGTTTAAAGTGACTTTGTTTCAATTATTATTATTATTATTTTTAAAAAAACCTTGAAATGGTTGGGAGGGGCAATTTCGTCCCATAAAATAATTTTTCAGAGTGAGGGGGCAGAGTTGCAATAATCAAAATACTTGTTACAGGAAGTTTTATGCAATAAATTAAAACTAGTGGGGTTTTTATGATATTACCCTAAAATATGCAATAATTAAAACTAGAGGGGTTTTTATGATATTACCCTAAAATATGTTTTCATATACACGTGTCAAATTTCGTTCCTATACTGCCAGTTAACTCACAAGTGTCAATTGCTGTATCACGAATCACGCTACAGTTTCTCTAAATAGTAGTACAACACAAAACACACCACATTGCCAGTTTCAAAACCCTCCCTGCTCTTTCGCCATGAGCATCAGCATTCGAAACTTCGGGTTAACTTACTATTCCTACACCCTCTACGACGTGACCTTCATCAATGACTCCATCAAAACCCTAGTCACCCACACTCCCTGCATCGTCGACACTTGGATCTCCGACATCAAGCGCCTCCACCACCATCGCCTCCGCAATCTCGTAGTCGGCCTCGACGCCGAGTGGCGTCCCGATCCCAACATCCAAACCCCCGTCGCCACACTCCAACTCTGCGTCGGCCGCAACTGCCTCATCTTCAAAATTTGATGGCCCAGGAAATCCCCCAATCCCTCGCTGACTTCCTCTCAGACGTCGATTTCACATTCGTCGGCGTTGGGATCGAAAATGACGCACAGAAGCTGTTCGACGATTATGGGTTGCACGTGTCCAACTGGGTCGATCTTCGCGGCTTGGCGGCGGGGAGGCTGAATGATGCTGAGCTTTACCATGCGGGTTTGGTGAGGTTGGCGGGAGATGTTCTTGGGATGAATTTTCAGAAGCCGAAGAGCGTTACGTTGAGCGATTGGGATGCTAATTGGCTGAGTGACGATCAAATACTGTATGCTTGGGTCGATGCGTTTGTTTCGTTCGAAATCGGGCGGTATTTGAATGCAGGTAATTAGAAAAAATGGGCACTCTAATCTGGGTTTTTGGGATTGAAGCTGCTTTTGTGAATCTAGAAATGATATGGTATTTGGGTTCTTGTAATTGAAGCTACTTTTGTGAATGTTGGGATAATATGGTATTAGGGTTTTTGTGAATCTTAGGATCAAACGGTATCAAAATGTTTTGCAACTTTGGATTAGTACTGTTCTAGTCTTGTTAATAGTTGAATCCGTTTTGTAAAGGGTCAGATTGAAGCTACTTTTGTAAATCTTGGGATGATATGGTAATGTTTTGCAACTCTGTATTAGTACTGTTCTAGTCTTGTGAAGCAGTTTCTTGAACCATATTAATTTTTGAACCCGTTTTGTAAAGGGCTGATTGCGTATTATATATTAGATTTTGCCTTCTTCATTAACATCGCAATCTTTCTATATTCTTGCATTAGTGCATTTTGTTTCATTGAAGAATGGGCAGAGTCTGAATGCAGGTTAATTCAATGGCACTGTAATGTCGATTTTGTGTATGAATGTAGGTAATTAAGGGGCACTATAGTGTGGGTTTTGGGATTTGGGTTTTTGTGATTGAAGTACTATATTTTTATGAGTCTTGGGATAATATGGCATTAGGTTGTTTGCATTAGTATATATAATAGTCTTTTGAAGCAGTTTCTAGGAACTGATGTTTGGAAAATTTTACCATATTAACCTCTGAATTTATTTTGGCAATGCTATATTAGATTTTCCCTTTACCATCATAGTCTTTCTATATGCCTGTGTCAATGCTTTTGTTTTTACTTCAGATTGTGCAGTTCTGAATGCAGGTAATTAGAAACTTTGGCATTTTAATGCGGTTCTTGGGATATGGTTTTTGTTGGGTTATTGATGTTGAAGACTTCTGATGATTTCGTTTTGTATTCGGTTGCTTGTATTTTTGTGTCACTTGCTTTACATGGTTATTTGAAGTGCCCTTTAGGAATTAATATTTGGAATGTTTTCCGTATGAACCTCTGAATGTATCTTGGGATTGCATATTGTGTTATTAGCTAGGTTTTCTCTTGAATGATTTTCTTGTGCTCTAAAATTGTCCTTTTGAGTTGTGTTTGCAGGTGTTTTCTGTCTTGTTGAATTAGCTGTACCTTTTAAGATGTGAGGGTTGACAGAGAAATGGCTAATTGAGGGTTAATCAGAGAAATTTCAAGGACTATATTTTGTCTTCCTATGCTTCATTCAAGACCAATTTTACTTATTCTAGGACTTTCAGTAACATGGAAAAGGTTTGCTGGCTTATTTGTGATATTTTATTTTCTTGGGAGCATCTTATTTTACTTAATAAATTAGTTGAGATTATGATGTTCGTTTATGGATACAAGTGTTTTGGCGCCACAAAACAATGGTAATGAAGGCAATAGGGAAGACACGTGTGTGGCCATCAAATGGTGAGGATGTCGTTAGCAGTAGGAATCCCGTTGATGCTAATGGCAATAGGTTTTGTTTGGTGGTGTAAGTGATTCTGGTTCTCTAGGTGTTATAGTAATTTTTAGAAGTGTCAAAAATTAATTATTTCTTGAGGTATACTTATCAGAATAAAATTATATGGTGTGTCATGGATCAAGTAGGTTTAATATGTTTTGCATGATAAAATGCATAAATGGCATGTGAAGGAGGGAAAAAATCAAACTATTGGAGCAGAGTTTCATTGGAAAGAAAGTTAAGCACTTCTTGTTGCTTCTTTACTGGGGGATTTCGTAGTGATGTACCAGGTAAGCACTTGTTTGGTTTAATTATCTGAAAACAATTTTCAATTTTCAAATAACTGGCATTGTTCTCTGAAATTGAGTCATTTTTAATTTGGTTTTTCAATAAACCATCAACCCAAAGCATTGTTAATCTGCTTTCTATGTTTTACTTCTCTCATTTATGAAACACTATTCTTAGAAAAGTAATGAAGTAGACCCTTTTTTCTTCTTTTTTCATCCATTTCAGCATGCCCAGGTACGATTTTGTCTTAAATTGTTGTACTATCACTCTCTCTCTCTTGACAAATGTGGATTTTAATACAATTCTTTCTGTCAATGAATGTGTTGCTATCTTGAGCTTCTAAGTTTGAATTGTGCAAGAAGCATTGGATTGTTTCAACTGACAACATTGTGAAATGAGAGATTTATTTTACCGTGTCAGTTAGTTTTCTTTTATCTTTCTTTTCTCACCATATCGGCAAAACAAATTTTGTTTCATGGAAGCGCTCCCCAAACAGAACTTTCTCATTAGCTCATACTCTAAAAACTCTATCACCTCCCGTGATCCAGTGACATGGTCTCACATAGCTTGGTTTTGGCCTTTGTATACCTAGTTATAACTTCATCCTCTGGCTCGCAATAAATGAGACTCCAGATGCAAGGCACTCATCCTCTGCTCCTTATGTCTATCCACTGAGGAATCACATTCCCGCCTCTTTTTTGGGTGTGAATTCTCCAGGCCCATTTGGAAGTTTTTTCAATTCAAGAGTGGGTTTCACACCATGCCCTCTAGTTGGAACTTGGAATGATCTCATTGCTTGGTCCTCTCACCATTGGAAGGATCACTGAAAGAACTGTTTAATTCGGATGTGTAAGCTTTGTCTGGCATATGGAATATGGCATATGGAGGGAACGCAACCTCAGGCACTACAAGGGAAGAAATCGAATGCTAATCAGGTGCTGAACTACATTATGGACAGAGTCAGAGGCAAATTGTCGACGGTAAAGTGGAAGCCTTCTGCTGCTTCAACTCGGGTTATGCATGACTGGGACTTGCCAACCTCCTTCACATTGAATCCTCCTCCTTCCTCAACATTACAGACGAACGATGCTCTGGTCTCAACCCTAGACCAACCTTTTTCTGTTTTGATTTTTGGGGAAAATTGAGCTTTAGGATGGCCAGGGCTGGGTTTTGTTTGTTGTTGTTTTTGTTGCTTTTGTTTGGGCCTAACTTCCTGTTGGGTCTCATGTTTTCTCCTCTTCTTCTTCAATAAATTGAAATGTCCAACCTTTCACCTCCATCAATAAATATATATATATATATATATATTGATGGAGGTGAAAGGTTGGACATTTTATACTGTTGCAACTTTAACCTTCCAATTAAGAATTGTATACGATGGAAAAATACTTGTATAGCATATCTAGTCATTTGTTCTTCTTCAGATGATCTGGTAAACATATCTTTGAATTTGATAGAGAAACTAAAGTGTTACCAAATAGGCCCTATCGTGTTTGGTTAAATTTTAAGAATTGAATAGTGCTTAAATTTCAAGTGCTAATTAAAAATTGAATATATATATATATATGTATATATTATACATGTTTGAATTGCAACTTTGCAAGTGTTAGTGTGATTAGTGAAATCTCTCACTTTTAAGTAATTTTTTTTTATTAGGTAATATTGAAATGTACGTAATTGGATAATTGGATAAACACTTAATTTATTCCAAATTAAATACTTAATTGAATTATCAAACCATGTCAAACTTCTCTTACGTTTAGTTTAAAATGTTTTAACTAAAAAAACAATGCTAAATTATGCAATAGGTGAATGATAAATTGTTGGATAAAAATAACACTCCCTTGGGTATATACAATTGAAGATTATAGAGGTAAATTTTAGGTATAAAAAGGATAAAAAAAAAAAAAAACAAAAAAACAAAAAATGTGATTTGATATTTGCTTTAAAGTATTTTAATCCAAACTCTTTTTTTTTTTGGATAAGGATTTTTATCCAAACTTTGACAATTGGTTGGAGGGAAGGATCGAGGAGGGATGGATGAAAATTTTCAAGTTTGATTGGAGAGAAGGAAAGAGAGGAAGAAAGCAAGAAGGGATAAATCATCCCTCATTTCTTTTTATTTTTCTATCAGCCCAATTTTGGGGGAGGGGATGAGAGAGAAAATGAATTACCTAATAATTTTCAATTTTAACATTTTCAAAAATTTCAAATGGATATCTACTTACCTTTTATTACTTTATATAGTGAGGATAGATTAATAAAAAATAGAGTTTTCAATTCCTTCCAACAAAACAAAATAAAAGTATCACCACATCCATCATTTCTACTATCCATTCCATTCAACCAAACAGAAAACAGGAGATACACATTCCTTTCCCTAAGAATTCCTCATCCATCCGTTTTCCTATCTCTTTCATTTATTTTTCCATTCCTACAACCAAACGAAACATTAATGTAAATATCAAAACGCATCTATTATGACTTGTATGCTACTTCATATCACTAACGAATCAAACGTATTTATTTAATAACTCAATTTAGTACTTAATTCTAAATAGATTCAATACTTATTTACTTTAGAACAGATTCAATATTTAATTCCAATTAAGTATGTTTGATAGGTCAATTTGAACATTACTTAAAACGATAAGTGTTACTTAAAATGACATAAAATTGTAAGTGTCAGGAACGAAAAAGGTAAATTTTGATACATTTATCTATCAATGAATATGTTGCAATGAAATGTTGTTAGCAACAAAGCTTCCAAATTTGAATTGTGTAATTGTGGAGGGAAAAATCTCCCTACCAATTAAAATCAACTACGTTAGCAAATAAATTATAACTCATTTCTTTTAGGCCACATGACTTTCAAAGCCCAGTTTAACGAAGCCCAAAAGAACTATCATCAGCCCATCATAAGATCAGCTTTATCTATTCTCGATCAAATATACAGCTTGGATAAATATTATCCATGATTCGGATCAGACCAATTACATTATCGAAGGAGCCTCATATGGAAGAATCTATATGAAGAAAAAACCCTATATAAAAGAAAAGCCTTATATGGAACAAAATGTAGAAGGATAATGGTGAATAAATCGTAGGGGACAAGAAGGCGAGTCTTACCATAATTTTACTACCAAATCTTGTATAAATAGAAGCATGAGCCTATAATGAAATATATTGAAAATTCCTAATCTCTATTGTGCATTGCTTTTATTATTTTCACGGAGTGTTTTGCTTTTATTCCTCGACTCATCGTAGTTAACGAATTTTTGCACCTACACTTTGGTGCCGTCTGTGGGAAACGTATAGAAATATACCCCTACGAGTGATTACTTGTTCGTTTTATACGACTACGTTCCGGGATGTCGACTGGAGGTGCTGCAGCTGATCAACAACCCAAATTGATGCAAAAGATGTGAGAAAAGTTCTTTCAACAATTCGAGATGCTCCAACAAGCAAACGAAGCCAGGACGGCTCAGATTACGTTGCTCCAGCAACGGAACGATACTTTCCAGGCAGCCATGGAGCATATCGTAGCCCAACCACCACCAGACAACACCTTGCCTAATGGGGCCCAGGGAGTTCCTCTTGACCATACTGCGCCTCCAGAGGCCGAAGCCCAAAGAGTCCCTCTCAACTGCATTATACCGTCGGAAGTTGAAACCCAAGCTAACAAAAGTGGGCAAAGGTAGAAGACTAGGAATAAAGCCGGAGCTTCACAAAACCACCTCTATTAGCGCATGCGAGATGAGCAGGTTGCAGCCAAAGGCCTCCAGTCTTGCCGATCGAAGTCCCTGAGGCCTTCGATGAAAAGAGGCTCCTGAGGATTCAGACGCTAGCGGAGATTGCTAAAGAGCACAAGGCTTCTCTAATGAAGACTCCATTTACGGATGAGATAAACTATGTTGAGAAGCCAAAGAAGTTTACCATGCCCGTCTTCACACAGTTCAATGGTATGAGAGATCCTTCCCGGCACCTCGATCACTACTCCCAAAAGATGGCCATGGATAACCACAATGATCCATTCATGTGCAAGGTGTTCCCAACCAGTCTGATGGGAGCAACACTAAAGTGGCTCAAAAACAGGCCTCACAGGTTAATCCCGAACTATGAAACTTTGTGCACCATATTCTTGGCGCAATATTGTGGCAACAAGAAGCAGAAGAAGACTATCGTTAGTCTTTTTAGTATCAGACAAAAGAGGGGAGAACCTCTTCAAGATTTCCTATCTAGGTATAACATGGAGGCTTTGGAAATACTGGACTATCATCCTGCAATAGCTGTGGAAGCATTTAAGATTGGCATGATTCAAGGGACTAAGTTCCATACTTCCTAGGTCAAGTACTCTCTTCCAGACGTGCAAACTCTCAATGCTAGGGCGCAGACTTACGTTTGACTTGAGGAGAACATAACTAATAGAGCTCAGCATTCAACCCTCATCACGGTAGAGAATAAGCCCTGGGAGAAAGCCTCGGACTCCAAGAACCAGAGGGGTTAAGAATCCTCGACGCTAGTAATCC